GACATGATATTGCTTAGTCAGCAATGAAGTCAGAGGCTGCTGGCTTTGGCTGGTGACCAGTGTATGGTGCACATTTTATGCGAAATCTGGCAAAATGTTGGTGAGCGATTGATTTTTTTTTAAAAAGGGGCAGTTGAGCCCCATCTAGTCCTAGCCATCCACCATGGATGATTTGATCAAAAAAATCAATTGCAAGACCAGGATTCCATGCATCTAAGACAATCTGAGGAAAAAAATCAAATGGGCTGAACCTTTCTTGTGAAACAATAATAGATTACAGATACTCAAAAAGTGGCAATGCTTTTCATGTATAGAATAGAAGATGGGGCATTTGTTATAATTACCACAGATGATTCATGCTACTAAATTTTTATTATTCTCCAATAGCTGAAATCAATGTACTTTCAATCCTCTAATACTGCTAAAAAGAAGTAAAACAAAAGAATTTGGACCCCGACTAGTTCTATGATTCCTACTGAAAGTAATTGAACTTTTTTGATGATTAAAAGGGTGAATGTTAAGATACTGAGACTTGCTTTGTTATTGCCTTTCAATGCTCAATACTTCTTCTGATCCTATTTCAAGGCAGTTTATGCCAAATCATAAAGGATTTCAGCCATATGTCTGAGATATTTGATGTAATGTGAGAGTCAAACATCAACAATATCATGTTTGTGATCAATGTCCCACAAGAACCATGGCAAATGCCTCAAACATCAAGAAAATGGAAAAAAAACAGCAATATAGGAGGACAAAAAGTCACTTTATCTAAAAAAAACCAAATTATGTACAAAATATGCAATGACTGGTATACTTTTCTAAAATTTCAAAGTGTGGATGAGAGCCTCACATTCAGCTTTGCCTTCTCTGGTGTATTCCTCAGAGACATGCCCGCACGTTTTCAAAGTTTAATTATCCACCAATGGTTTTGTATGAAATTTTCAACCCTTATAAGTTTATGAATATGTGTTATATGAAATTTACATTTGTAGCTGAAATACATGGAACTCTCAGTCTTGTTCGATTACTCTTAAGCATGGTGCATGTGTCATAGACACCGGTTGACAAAAAAAACCCTACTAAATTATAATTAATGCATTTATTTAGAATTTCCCAGATCACATCTTCTTCATCATGAATGAGAGTAAATAAGATTCTGTAAAAATAATTCTTCTGCTAAAACAATTTGGGGAGAATATTGTGATTTGTGAGATACATTAACTAACACTGGTGGATCAAATTAATACATCATTGGGGAACAGAATAACCATTTGATGTGTTAATAATACTTGCCTTGCATTTAATGTGCACAGTTCTTTATTACATCAAAGCACTTCACACAATGAGTTGCTTTGAAGTGCAGTGAATATTGTTATGGAAATAAATTTAGCATCTAATCTGTCCGACCATAGAACCACTGAATTTTTTTTAGAGTTTACGCAGAAGGAAACCATTCAGCTCATTATGTTGTAACAAACTGAATTGTGGCCAAATAATAATCGGTTTTGTTGATTTTCATTGACTGCTAGTGAATTAATCTCTGTCACAATTGGTAGCGTGATTACCTCTGAGTGACAAGGTCTATAGATCAGGAGCCACATTAGAACTTTGAACTAATATGGTTTAAACTGTGGAGCTATGGATGTTTAAGTCTCATCCAAAGGGCAGCATTCTTGGAGGTGCTGCCCTTCAGATGAGACTTTAAACTGAACTTCTTTATGCCTGTTCAGGTGGACTTTAAACATCCATAGTATTAGTCGTGGAGTCCTGTAGCTCAGTGGTTAGAGCACTTGCCTTGCAGGCGAAGAGACCTGGATTCGATTCCCAGCCTGGCAAAACCTTGGGCAAGTTTCCTTACTCCATATGCCTGATAATAATTCCTCAAAAAAAACCAAGAATAAATTGGTCACTTTAATTCACGACTGTTTGTCGTGAACTGCTGTGCACAATTGGCTGCCACGTTTCACCCACAAATATACAGTCAATTCACTTTACATTCTGTGAAGTGCTATATCAAATGCAAGGATTATTATTATTATTAGACTGACAGTCCAATTTAGTACTGGGGGTATGGTGCATTCTTGGAGGTTCTGCCCTTCGGATGAGACTTTAAACTGAACTTCTTTCTGCCTGTTCAGGTGGACATTAAATATCCATTGCATCAGTCATTTTCAAATCCCTTCATGCCCTCGCACCTCCCTACGTATCCAATTTGCTTGCCCCCCTCTCCCCCACCAGCTTGCTCCAGCCTCTTGTTCATCCCTCATCCCCTCCGCTCCATCATCAGTGGCTATGCCTTCAGCCACTACCCCTTGAAACTCTGGAACTCAGTCCCTTCACCTTGACCCTGCATCCTCACTTTTAAATCCCGCTTAAAGACCTTCCTTTTTGATCGTGCTTATGGTCACCTCCCTCTTCCCCTGGCTTGGGTCGGATTCTGCCACACTTAAGCTCTCCGGGATGCTACCCTGTGTGATGGGCGCTATATAAATGCAAGTTGTTGTTGTCAAAAGGAGTAAGATGCCCTGATTAATAATGCCCCAAATAAAATTGTTCATTCACTTCATAACTGTCTGTGGAATATTGCTGTGTGCAAATTTGCTGCTGCATTCAACAACAACAAAATTACATTTATAGAGTGCCTTTCACGTCGGGAGCACGTCCCAAAGTGCTGGACAGTCAGGGGTCGGGACCCAAGCATGGCGGAAGGGTGGGGTAGGGGTGAAGGAAGGCAGAGAGGTGGGAGGGCAACTGAAGGCATTATCAAAGAGGAGGGTCTTGAGACAGTCCTTGAAGGAGGCAAGGGAGGAAGTGAGGTGAAATGGGACAGAGTTCCAGAGTATGGGGGCAGAGAGGCTGAAAGCTTGGCCACGGATGGTAGGGCGGGTCGGGTGGGAGACATGGAGCAGGCTGGAGCCCGCTGAACGGAGGGAGCGGGCAGGTTGGTAGGGAGTCAGCAGGTCAGAGAGGTAGGAGGGGGCAGGGCCATGGATGGCCTTGAAAGTGATGACAAGGATCTTGAATTCGATCCTCTGGGGGATGGGGAGCCAGTGGAGTGGGGCGAGGGTGGGAGTGATGAGGTCACGGAGTCTGGTGTGTGAGAGTAGCTGCAGAATTTTGGATGATCTGTAGCTTGTGAAGGGAAGAGTTGGGAAGGCCGATGAGGAGGGAGTTTCCATAATCAACCCTTGATGTGACAAATGCATGGGTGAGGCAGTGGCAGAGTCTGGCAATGTTGCGAAGGTGGTGGTAGGCAGTTCCGGTCATGGTGCGGATGTGGGGGAGAAAGGACAGTTCAGGATCAAACAAGATACCCAGGTTCCTGACTGGCTTAGTGAGGTTGAGTGTGCAGCCGTGGAGGCTGAAGCTGCCAGCGCCTGAGGTGTTCAACTACTCAAGTACACAGTCCCTACACCATACAGTAAATCATGTGTAGCATTTTGAGACATTCTCATGATGTCCAAGACACTGTATCAAAAGCAACAATTATTATGATAAATGAAGGTGTCTAAAAATTAAAATATTTTAGTTTCAACCTTGAAATCATTGTTTTTGCATGTTTTTGAATAATCTTATTTTAGGTGTACACCGCTGTGGCGTAGAAGTTATTTTTAAGGGAAAAGCATCTGCAAAACAGGATTATTTGACTGCCAAATGTTATGATACATGTCTGCTTGAATTTACATTATTATTAGTCAATAGTAATAATATTAATATTGTCTATATGATTCAATACAATTATTCAATATTCAATATGATTTATTAAAACTTAAATTGGCCCTTTTCTATGCAAAATGTTGTCATAGATTGTGGTTTGAAGATGGTGTAGAACATTACAGGTTTCAAGCCTATGGGAACGCTGCAGAATCATCAGTTAAACTGAATAGTTTGTACTGAAGCATTTTCAAAATATAGTTATCAAGCAAGACAGGTTTTTCACAGTATTGAGATGGATTTTGAGGAACAGCACTGCATAATCGCTTAGTCAACAGAAATTAGAAAAAAATGACAGAGAGGATGTAAACCCATGCTGTGTTCAGCATAATTGTGCAAAATGATCTCAGGAAATAGGGTTTGTATGACTGTGTAGCAAGAGCTGACAAATCTAGGATCATTAAAATGACCCAGCCACACTAACTTAAATATTGTGAGTATGATTTAAGCAGAGCTTTGTATTTTTCCCATTTTTGTTACATTGAACTTTAAAACCCAGGTTTTCAATAAAATTAAATATCCAAATGTCAACTAAATACCAACCTGTTTCATTTTATTAGTTTCATAAAACTCAAATAAAAGAGAGTGAGCATTCCCTTAACAAAATCAATGGTAGCCTTCATTTTAGACACCTCATATAATCATTCTTGCCTAATGAGGTGAAATGTTCTACACTTCAGCCTTGTTATACTTTTGCAAAGTGAATTGGTGCCATCGAATATACGGTTAATTGCTCTAGAAGTCCTCACTCTGTCCAACCTCACTCCATTCTCAGCTCACTCTGCTGCATTCTCTGCTCCAGAAAGGCAGAAATTGAGTTTACAACAGCTTTTTTAAAAATACCACTCTACTGTATATCAACATTCAAATTAATTTGTTGTGATCAACAATTAAACGATTTACTACACTTGCTACATAATGTGACAGCTTGAGCAAGTACATTTTGGCAATCGCCTTCTGAAAACTTTATAAAACGTAAAATGATAATAAAATAATTCTTGCGTTTGAAGTTCTGCTTTTCATGTCGGGAGGATATCTCAAAGCACTTCACATGATGCACTGTAAAGTGTAGTGACTGTGTATTTTGTAGGTGAATATGACAGACAATTTGCATACAGTAATGTTCCACAAACAGTCATGAAGTGAATGATCGGTTTTATCTGGGGGATTATTAGCTAGGACACTGAGAGAAACCCCTTTTTTTTAATTGAAAGACAACTCAAACTATTTTGAGTGAGTTAAGATAATTTGATTTAATAGATATCTTGCTTACTTTTGTCTTCTAGGACACAAATCAACTTCACAGTAGCCATTGATTTTACTGCATCAAATGGTAAGTCCATCTCTATAAATGTACACAATTGAAATATTCAAACTAATTTTATTTTTTTAAAACCAAATGCTGCTTGTTTTTATTATCCATCATAAAGAACTATCTCTCATATTAATTTAAGTTGCATCATGATGTTAAAATTTGACAAGAAAGGTATTATAATTTAGACACATTATCGTGAAGAAAGTGGAACAGTTTTCTCATTTTGTTTTGTGCCTTTTGTTTAAATTGAAGTTCTAGAATTAGCTTGGCTTGCTTAAAACCCAACAACTATCAGAGAAATGAAACCTGTCGGTTTCAAGCCAACTGTTGCTCACTGTGTCCCAGTAGGAATACATTGTAACTAATGGGAGGTTGCCATACAATCTCATTCTGAGTGCAAATCCTCACCACCTAGTAGAAGGTGAACTATCAGTGAATCTGTTCCAGACCCTCCCTGACCCACTCACTGTGTGAGCAGGAGGTTGACTTTTGAAAATTCAAAATCTGCAGATTTTCAAGAACTACAGATGGAAAAATTCAAGATCTGCAGATGGATTCTAAATCAAGATTACCTACAGTCTATAATGGAAGCAAAACACGATAGATAAAGTAAAATGAATCAACCTAGAAAGTTTTTTTGGTGCATGGAACACAGACATCTTACTGTCTACAGATATCTTAAGAAGGTTGAGTTTAGTTTGTATCTGTTTGTGTTGCACCTTTTCTCTTCCTAAATTGGTTATTCAAGTTTCACTTTTCCTGCAAAACAGAATGAGAATATGAGCTCTTCAGGCTCATACTTTTGAGGACTTTCAATAATATCTATTCATATATTTTAGTTACAATGGTAATAGTCAAAGCTTTGAAAAAACCCCAACTCTAAATACATTTTCACTTTCTAATGATATTTGAAAATGCCACTTACAGAGATATTTCCATGGTTGAATAGTTTGCACAATTCCCAACACTTTTTCCTTTTAAATGTTTCTGACATCTTTCAACTTTTACAGAAGTGACATTCCCAAACTTGCCTGAGGACAAAGTTAGAAAGCAAGAGATGTCAAAGTACCTTGGGCCCTGATATCAGTCACATAAAGAACCTCTCAGCATCCAAAAACAGATCACTTAATGAGATGCGCTATTCCAGGAATGTAGTGATAGGAACATAGGAAGAGGAGCAGGCCATTCAGCCCCCAGAGACTGTTCTGCCATTCTATAAGATCATGGTTGATCTGTACCTCAACTCCAATTACCCATCCTTGCTGCAAATCCCTCGATACCCTTACCTAGGCTCAGAAATCTATGCACCTCAGTCTTGAAAATGTTAATGGATTCAGCATCCCCAACCTTTTGAAGGGAGATAGTTCCAGATTTCCAAAACCCTTTGTGTGAAAAAATGCTTCTGACCTAGCTCTAATTTTATGATTATGCCCCTTGTTCAGGATTCCCCCACCAAAGGAAATAGTTTCTCTGTATTTTGTATTTACCCTATCGAATCCCTTTATTATTTTAAAAACCTCAATCAGATCACCCCTCAACCTTCTAAACTCAAGGGAATACAGACCAAGTTTATGCAACATGTCCTCATGATTTAACCCTTTGAGCCCTGGTATCATTCTGGTGAATCTGCATTACATCCCCTCCAGAGGCAATATATTCGTCCTGAGGTGCGATGTCCAGAACTGAACGCAGTACTTCAAATGGGATCTGACCAAGGCTCTATACAGTTGAAGCATCATCTCCTCTCCTGTATATTCCAGCCCCCTTGAGATAATGGCCAACATTGCATTAGCCTTTTTCATAACTTTTTTTTTACTTGTGAACTTGTTTTTAGTGATTTGTGTATGTGGACACCCAAATCCCTTTGCTCCTCCACAGTTCTTAGTTTCTTACCATTTAGAAAATATTCTGTTTTGCAATTATTGGATCCATAGGCCTCACACTTCCCCACATTGAATTCCATCTGCCACAGTTTTGTCCACTCACTTAATCTGTCTTAAGTCCCTTTGTAATTTCTTGCTCCCATCTGCACAATTCACTGTACCTCCCAACTTTGTGTCATTTGCAAATTTGGAAATAAATCTCTATTCCTTCATCCAAGTCATTTATACATATATATATCTATATGGTGAAAAGCGGAGTTCCCAGTACAGAGCCCTGGGAAACACCACTTGTCACATTCCACCAATCAGAGAATGTTCCCTTTATCCCTACTCTGTTTTCTGCCTCCCAACCAATTACCAAGCCGATAATTATAAGATGGTATTTAAGGATATTTCATGTCTGGAGAATGATCAACAACAACTCACAATTATATAGTGCCCTTCATGCTGGTTAGCATCTCGGAGCACTGAACAATGATATAGTTTGATGCCAAGCATGAGAAAAAGAGATGACTGTAGGCACAAGTGAAGAGGAAAGACTTCAATCATCATTAACCAACAGCTTTCCAGAGTTGTCTTTGTGGTAGGTTAGCTTTGAATTTGTTTCAGTATAAGTGAAAGCCGAAAGAGTGCTTAAACAATTCAGAAGCATGGGGGGTAGATACAAATGATTTAGCTACTTTCTGGTAAATGTGAGACACAAGTAGAATATATTTTGCACGTGAGAGATATGTTTGGAATGTTGGTGCAAAGACTGGCATTGGGGCCACCCCAATGATATAATTGATAGAGCTGCATCTTACGGATTGGAAACTACTTTGTTTAACGCTGATCAAATAGTGTTGCTAATTCCCAGTGATTAACTTTTGTTAATTTATTGATGTAAACCAATTAAGGGAGAGTATGTTGGGAGTGCTATGCATTCCAGATAGCATCAATCCAATGCTATGTATTCCAGATAATATCAATTATATCTAATATCTTCGATTGCGTTATTGCCACCTTCTTGATCCCCCATGGCTCAGTAACAGGCTCTGCCACTGTTAAGCACTCCGAAAGTCTATCCTGCATGAAGGGCATTATACAAGTGCAAGTTGTTGTTGTGCCTCCTTGTGGAGTCCTGTAACTCAGTGGTTAGAGCACTCACTTTGCAAGCGAGTGACCTGGGTTCAATTCCAGGCAGGGCGAAACCTTGGGCAAGTTTCCTTACTCTACACGCCTAATAATAATCACTCAAAATAAAAAACAATAATAAATTGGGCACTTCAATCCACGAATGTTTGTGGAATATTGCTGTGTGCAATTGGCTGCCACATTTCGCCCATAAATATACAATCAAGTCACTTTACAGTCTATTCTGTGAAGCGCATTGAGATGTCAAAAAGATGTGAGAAGTGCTATATCAAATCAAGGATTATTCTTATTATATAGGGTAATGTCTCTAAGTGCTTTAGAGAGATGATGCCAGACACCTAGCAGAGGGAGGTGACTATGTGCATGATCAAAGTCTGTGCTTTAGTAATTAACATTAAAGTTTCATTTTTATTCTTCATCAGGTAATTTGTTAAGGTGACCTCCTTGAGGCAGAAATATGGTACAGCCCACAGTAACTCACTTCAAATTCCAAGAACAATAGATGTGAATAATTTGTTGCAGAGCTGGTGCATATATGTGGTTCACTGACTCCAAAATGAAAAATGCAACGATATAAATATCTTATTACACAGAGGCAGTAGGGATACATTCAAAATGTTTGCTTTTATTTAGCATCCTTTCCTGAACTGCTGAAGGTAGAACTGAACCAGGAGCAGATGCATCTAACGAGTATTTCTTAATGTTGTGATATTCCAAAGTGGTTATGGCTTTTTAATATTTCCGATTTGTTATCAGTGAAAGGTAATATTGGTGAAAAGACAGATATTAGGGTAGCCCCAATGGTGTTGTGGATACAACTGCAGTTTACACACCAGAAATTAGCTGGTTTAGTGTTGGTCAAAACACTGCAGAAGATTCCGATTTATTAACCATTTTAATTTATCGATGTAAGCCAGTGTCAAATATATTAAGGGAGGGTATATTGAAGGTACTCTATCCCACCTACTTGGAATTATTAGAACAGACAATAAACCTCCTCCAGTTCAATTTGTAAAGGCATCACTTGGTGTATTTCTGGGCAAGAAACTTGCTGCATTTGATCTCTGGTCTGCACTGAGTTAGCTGATTTGAGCTGAGGCAGGAGTAAGAGTACAATTGGCCTCATTATCTTGGGGTTAGCAAGGGATTGTTCAGCCAAGATTCCCACTCTTACATTGAAGTCTCCAGAAAGCATGCTCAAAAATATACAGTTAACAATGTTACTCAGCTGATAATTCCCTTCTGTCAGATCTGAAGCTAATGTCACAAGATGATTCATGTACTCTTCAGTTGTCTACATTATTGATATTCCTTTGACAGTAATTATGAACACAGTGATATATGTGTACACTTCAGCAGTCAAATATGTGGCACGTAAATAGCTTATAAATAAAGCAACCAAGTTGCATTTAAAGAGGACAGAATGGTATTTCAGTTTTGTATCTCTGGATTTGTTCATCCCATACCATATTGTATTTTAAGTCTTAAAATTTTAGCCATTTTTTTTTCTCTAAATTTACCATTCGGGGTGTTGTGAGAACCGTTAATTCAAACCATTGTATTTTAAGAATTGCATTTTATAATAATAATAATAATAATAATAATCCTTGCATTTGATATAGCGCTTTTCACGTCAGGAGGACGTCCCAAAGCGCTTCACAGAACACACTGTAAAGTGAATTGACTGTATATTTGTGGGCGAACGTGGCAGCCAATTGCGCACAGCATTGTCCCACAAACAATCGTAGATTGAAAATGACCAATTTTATTATTGTTTTTGGTTTTGGAGGGATTATTAGGCGTGTGGAGTAAGGAAACTTGCCCAAGGTTTTGCCCCCTGCCTGGAATTGAACTCAGGTCTCTCACTTGCAAAGCGAGTGCTCTAGCCACTGAGCTACAGGACTCCACAGATGTCTGGCATGCATTATTGTTTTCTTTCCATTCACCTAATACATTGTGATTAAAATACATTTCAGTCATTTCAGCCTTTCTTTGTGACAGGAGGTGCTGAAGAATGAACAATTTGCTGCAAGTTTCAAACTCTGGTCTCCTAAGAGGAAACCGGTATCAGCTCAGACAACTGTTAGCAATACCTATTCCTTTGTTACAGTCTCATTAATCATATGCAAATTGAGTTCATTTTTACAAATCATTGAAGTCAGAGGGACTAAATTTCCTGTCTCACAGAGAAAAATCTATTTCTGATTCAAATGCGGTATTTTCAGATTAGTGCCAGAACAAACAGAGGCAAACCAATTTGAATCACCCAGCAAATTCCCAAGGTGTGAATATCAAATGAATGCAGATGACAATGTGGTTGTCATTCAAGTATGCTTCACACGTTTTCCTCCATTTCAAGATAATTGACAGTGTAGATATGGTGGTGTCAGTGGCTGACGGAAGAGGTAACGCTGCCCTCTTCTCCCAATAACACATCATTTAATAATTTCTTGGTCTGTCAATTCTTTTTCATAAATCAGTTCTCTCTTCCCAAATGCTTCCTCTTTCATATTGACCTCATTGCGATTTCAGGGTAAGTTTATAAACCTAGAAGTCTAGTAATGTGGGATGTTAGATTTTTCCACAATGGTCCAAATAGAGCAGGAGATGTTAGAACTCCCTTCTGTTTGGTTGCAGGAATCTTTCATTGAATTACATAGGTTGGTCATTTGGCCCAACTAGTCTGTGCTGTTGCTTATACTCCATGTGAGATTCCATCCATTCTAATCCTGGAGAACTGCCCTGGACTACTGTGGGGTTGTCTGGCTCAGGAACAAAATTCCAAGATCGCCTCAGAATATTGACTCGATTGGGTCAGTTTGTTTTTTGCCTTACCAGCTTCTAAACTGTTTACCTCATTCTGTGCTTTATTTGGGTGAAAATTGGAATACAAGTTTCAGTGTACAATCTAATTAATATATTCAGATAGGAAATTGAACACCCAATGCTCAAACTCTCTGAAATTCTGCTACATGAATTCTGCGTTTTGTGAAATCAATCTTCATTTAATAAAGAAAAAGCCTTTTTTACTACTGTAAATATTTGCATTAATGTTCCGTCCAGAAAATTGGGCCCATAATATGAATTTGCTGAAAATTGAGCAGACAAACAATTGAAAGATTCGTAAAGACACTTTATTAAGATTTAACTTCTGCAAATCCTCTTGTGTATTGATACAGCCTAACAATACTATCCTGAAACTAATCACATTGTTTCAGTTAACCTGTTATTAATGTCTGTTTCACTCATGTCACTTTAGGCGTAACATAGAATAATGGAGTAGATATACTTTGCATTCTGCTTATGAATTTTCTGCAGTCATAATTGCTGAATATTTTTTTAAAATTAAAACTAAACACTACTATGTCCAAGGAATTTTGGCAAAGGCCACAACAATCACTTACGTATTTTGATCTGACACATGTGGTATCTTATCATCATGCTTAAGAGTCTCCAAACCAGACAGTTTATCAGCTATACAGAATGAGAAATGGAAATATCCCATTTGAAAAAAATTGATGTGGTTATTTTACACCAGCACAAAATACATTGTCTTGTTGCATAATGCACTGCAAATTCTAGTGGGAAATCTGCAGACCTGGAAACAATATTAGTTTCCCAGATATTCTACTGTAATATATGGAGTCAGAGGTAGAGGTTGTTTTAATTAAGTTGTAGTGTATTGAGTTAGAGATAACAGTACACAAGTCCATCAGCCCCACCTCACTGCCTTGTTGTTTGAGGGGCCTCTTTATGCTTTCCAATTCTAGTCTCCACACTGTAAGAAGGATATAGCAGCGATGGACAGAGTACAATGTAGGTTTATGAGGATGACACCAGACCTGGCAGGTTACTGCTAAGAGGATAGACTGGATATGTTAGTCCTTTTTTTGCGAGAGAAGACATTTGAGGTGGTACCAATTAGAAGTGTTTAAAATTATAAAATTATAAGGTTAACATAAATAGGCTGTTTCCATGAGTTGGGAAGTCTGTAACCTTGGGACACAAATATAAGAGAGTGACAAGGGGATCTAAAAGAGAATTTAGGAGAAACTACTTTGCATAGTGGATAGTGAGATTGGGGAACTCACTGTCTGAAGCGGTGGTTGAATCAGATAGTAAGATGCTTTCAAGTGAACGACTTTCAAGACCTCTACGTGAGGGAGAAGGGAATAGAAGGTATGGGAGGAAGTAAGGAATGGCTGAAAACATGCGTGGGTATAAACACCGTCAAGGACTGGTTGGTCTCCATGCTGTACAATCTTTGTAACCTTTGTAAATGTCCCAGGACCCTTTGGTATCCTGGTTATGCTTGCTTTTATGCTTGCTTTTTGTATATATATACAACACCACTGGCCAGGGATTTGAAGAGATATAGGCCAATAATATTTGCAACATGGTCTTAACATCCTTTGATGTGTTGGGAAAGCATGGAATATATTATACATTGTGACACCTGTCAATCACATTGACCCCTTAGGAGCTATAACCTCCTAAGCAGCTCTCAATAAATGACCTACTGCCAAAGATAGTGTAATAATACCTTAGAACAGAAAGCATTAAATACTTGTGAATTATTCATTATATCATAAAATCTGAACAGGTAGAGAAGGCCCTTCAGCCCATTTGCTCTAATACATCCAGGATACCCACCCTACCTTCAACCCATCACTGTTTTTAAGGGATTGCAGACTTCTGACCTCAACAACTCTGTCATTATTTTATTATATCTGGTAACCATTCCAGTTGTCAATCACCCTCTGGGTAAAGGAATACTTCCTGGTGTCTGACTTGAAACTGCCTTTGCTCTTGTTCTGCTGCCCCGACATATGTTTTGGGCCTGCTTTCTCAATTTAAAATCTTATATCCCAGTATGATGGGAGTCCTGTAGCTCAGCGGTTAGAGCACTCACTTCACGAGCGACCTGGGTTCTATTCCTGGCAAGACAAAATGTTGGGCAGGTTTCCTTACTCCACACGTCTCTGTTTACCTAGCAGTAAGTAGGATGCTGTTAGTCAATTGGCAGATAGCTTTTCCGGGGATAATAATCCCTCCAAAAAAATAATAATTTGGTCACTCAATATCACGATTGTTTGTGGGACATTGCTGTGCAGAATTGGCTGCTGCGTTTCGCCCACAAATATACAGTCAATTCACTTTACAGTATATTCTGTGAGGCGTTTTGAGACATCTAGAAAATGTGAAAAGTGCTATATCAAATCCAAAGATTATCATTATTGTGATAAAATCTTATATCCCTTCTGAAACTTCTCTTTTCAAAGCTGAAGAGCCACAGCTAATTTCTCAGATATGGGGAACAGGATTATTATTTGCCTAATTTCCTCATTTAATAATAATAATAATCTTTGCATTTGATATAGCGCCTTATCTCATCTTCGAAATGTCTAAAGTGCATCATAGAATATACTATAAAGTGAATTGACTGTATATTTTGTGGGTGAAACGCGGCAGCCAATTGCACACAGCAATGTCCCACAAACAGTCGTGGATTGAAGTGACCAATTTATCATTATTATTTTTTTGAACCCACAAATTATTCCCCCTGGAAAAGCGATCGGCCAATCGAGAAATCGATATTTCTCTATAATGTGCTGTTTCTAGTGCCTGAGCAGGTCCAGTATGCAGTGGTGACCAGAAATGCAAATCAAATAGTTACAATTTAAAATAGCAAATCTGGTTTCTGAATATGCCATTTCACTATGTGAAATAAAGCTTTGCTTTACATTCACGTTTAGAGTTCAATTTCTTATAACCTTAGGGCATAGCCTGCAGTGCTATTGTGTATTATTGCCTTCATAAATTATTTGGGGAAATATTTTTATGTTGTTCTGCAGTACCTGGCTTGAAAGATAGATTTGTCTGCAGCTGACATTTCATCATAAAGTGCTTCCAAGGTTTTGCAGCATTTTTTTAATCTAGTCGATCATTAGTGTGAATAATTTGTTTTAAAATATTTTTATTAACAGGTCACCCTGCTCAGCCAACCTCTCTCCATTACATGAACCCTTATCAGCTTAATGCTTATGCTATGGCATTAAAAGCCGTCGGCGAAATCATTCAGGACTATGACAGTGACAAGATGTTCCCAGCACTTGGGTTTGGTGCCAAGCTGCCTCCAGACGGGAGAATATCACATGAATTTGCTTTGGTGAGATTTCTTTTGCAAATGCCTCATTCTATCGAAGAACATCTTGTGTGTTTGTGTAACTTACCACTTTATTTCACCACAACTGTTACTCTGCACAACTGTTATATCGCTGTTCTGCTAGATAACCTTTAATCAATCAGTAATTATTCTGACACCTGAGGCCAAAGCCAATATTTGTTGATATTGATTGAAGATCGCTATCCCTATATAAATTGCTAACAACTCCAGATAAAATGCTTGTTCCACGCATTTGGATTTGATGTAAGTTAAAACCATTTGTAGTTACTTATTTGCAAGTCTTATTTTCTCAGTGGTGCCTGGTATGAGAACTGACAAACCAGTGTGATAGGCAGTTGTGTCCTGCATTTAACCCCTACTACACCAGATGTAGAATGTTTGATTCTGATAGACGATTTAGAAATTGAACTTTATTTTCCATTAAGTGATGTTTCTCATATTGATGAATGCAAATTTACACACTCCCACCCACCGCCCGCGCACCCCGCCCCCCCCGAAAAAAAATAAAAGCAAGATGAAGGTAAATGAAGGTGGCTCTGCTCTCCTTAGAGCAGAGAGGGTTGAGGGGAGATTTAATGGAGCTATTCAAAATTATGAAATAACAAAATAATCCTTGCATTTGACGTAGCACCTTATCACATCTTCGAGATGTCTTAAAGCTCTTGTTTTGATAGAGTAAATAGGGAGAAACTGTTTGCTTTGGTGGGTGGGTCGGTAACCAGTGGACACAGATTTAAGATACAGTGAAGCCAGTTAAGCCGGACACATGGGGCAACTAACCATTCCCTCCCAGCAGAGGAGCTGTGGCGACACCATATAATAATATGTAATAATATTGTTTCACTTGAAGCAATGTTAACCAATCAGTTGGTTTAGAACACACTCACAGAATTCAGTAAAATATATTAATCTTTGTTTGGCTGCAAAATGCAGTTCAGTACTTTCCCACCCAGCTGAGGAGCAGCAGTGCTTCCTCCCTCCCATTGCCACTCCCATTGGACAGGAAGGGGACTAATTAGCAGCAGTGCTGAGGTGATTGATAGCCATAGCCCCTTATGAATGTTTGGGCTCCACCCGTACACAAGAGCTCAGCTGTCAATCAATCGCAATATTCCCTCCCTTGACCTTCCTCCGCCCCCTCATTGATTGACAGCCCAACTCCAGCCACTTGTGAATGGCTGGAGTCCACTGTCAATTGCAATTTGACTGCTCTCATCTACATCGTGGCTGAAGGCAAGACACACACAAGGCTCGAGTGAGTACATCAAGCGTTGCATTTTGCTAGGAATAACGTGATTTTCATCCCAACTAATAAGCATATTCACAACAGTTAAGAATACAAATGAATTGGGGCCGGGCATTTTGTTCAATACACCCGACATCCAGAGTTGACTGGGGTCCGTCAAAAGCGAATTCCACTTTAATTCGCAAAAGAACCTGAGGGGAGATAAAGAGATTTTTTTTTACCCAGAAAGTTGTTATGATCTGGAATGTACTGCCTGAAAGATTGGTAGAAGCAGATTCGATAATTGCTTTCAAAAAAGATTGGATAGGTACTTCAAAAGGAAAACATTTGCAGACCTATGGGGTAAGAGCGGGGAGTGGGACTAGTTGAATAGCTCTTTCAAAGAGCTGGAACAGGCACGATGGGTCAAATGGCCTCCTTCTGTGCTGTAAGATTCTATGATTCTATGAATAGTACAGAGCAGTTATGGTTCTTGTGATAAAATAGCTATTTCTTGGTGTTTCAGCCAATTTCAACTGCTTAACACTTAACGGTGTGCATGGTTTGGAATTCACCAGTGTAGACCTGAATGCCAGGGCTACCATTTAATCTTCCCTTAATACTAATTGTGCTACTCTGTAATCTTCATTATTTCATTTGGCATTCTCATGGGAAGTTATAAAATGTAACCACTTTCAAACAAAACATATCTTGGGGCACACCTAGGATTAACAACAACAACAACAAGATTCCATTTATAAAGCGTCTTTCACGTCAGGAGGACGTCCCAAGGCAACCAAGGCAACAAGGCAACCTCATTACATTCCGACCATCTAGGTTCAATATTTCATAAATTGCGTTATATGCAAAGAGTGAAAAAATAGCCAACTTCCAGGATGTCAGATAGCTTCTGATGTCACTTCCTGAGTGTATTGCACTACGCATATGCAGGAAGTGCCGCTAATATTACTTCCTTTGAAAAGTGGCATCAGCTAGCGCTTCTGCCCGCATGTAATATGTATGTGTGCAATGTGCAGGAAATGACATCAGCGACAACCTGACAATCGTGAATTGATTATTTTCTAATACAGGAAGATGGCTAGTCAGCACCGGGGGTGGAGTTTCAGTGCATGCTTCCAAAAGACAATTCTGTAAGTGAGCACATCGTAAAAGGTCAAGTGTTACAATGAGGTTGCCTTGTATTCGGTGTTTACTACTAGAACTTCCTCCTCTGAATCATTTTGAAAACTCTCCAACAAATAAAGCTGTAACTAGTCACTGTTTCAGAAACGGTCATGCACCTCACCTCCCAACTTTTTTTTCTTGCAGAATGGAAACCCTCAAAATCCGTATTGCCAAGGAATTGAAGGGGTGATGGAGTCTTATTACCGGACACTAAAAACTGTGCAGCTTTATGGACCCACCAACTTTGCACCTGTAATTAATCATGTGGCAAGGTACTTATTGCATTTGTTAAATGGATGGAGGATATGTATAACCAGATATGGGATTAACAAACATTACATCTGCTTTCCCACTAATAAATTGGCAATTTCCTTTGTAGCAACAGAAAGAAATTTGATAATGTTGTATAATTTAAGAAAATTAAAATGTGCAGCTCTTCCCCCACGCATTTATATTAGATGTGGAATAGTGTGCTGGAAATGACACTTTCAGTCCCTGATGCAAGATCTGGGAAGGATTCTTCCTATTTTTTTCATACAATTACAGGGCAGATAGTTTATGTGCAGCATTCCTCGTCCAAGAAAGAAATGTCCTTTTAAATGTCTGATACTGTTAAAGCTATTTACTCAGCCAGAATGTCAGGTTGCCAAGATGAAAAGAAAAGTATTTAAATAAAGTCATTAGTTTTAGTTCAGCATTTTCTAACTTGCACTTCGGGCTGACAGATAAAACTGAATTTCTGAACCCCTCTGTTCAGAATTGGTGTTAAGGAGGACACGAGTTGTGCAAATAAAACCTCACTCAGATGAAACTGCCTGACTCTACATTGTTCTTCCTTACAATGAGAAAGGTTAATGGGTAATTTAATAGTTTCTGGACAGTTTCTGGCTACATTTTATTTAATATTTACTTTAAATATTCTATTGTCAATTGCTATATAGAGTCACATTTTTGTGTGACAAAGACAGCTTTGTCTGCAAACTCTATGTAAATTAAGCTTTTAAGAGAATGCACTGTTAAAGTCAGCAAATTTGTCACAAATTTAGGGAACTATTTTAGGCAAGTATAGATAAAAATAATAATAATTCTTGCATTTAATGACTTATCATAACAAAGCTTCACAAGATTTACTGCAGAGTGAAGTGGCTGTGTGTTTTGTGAGTGACATTAAAATTTGCAGACAGTAATGTCCTATGATCAGCCATGTCCTATAGATTGGTGGAACAGGCTCAAGGTGCAGAATGGCCTACTCCTGTTTCTATGTTCCTTTAAAGTAAATTAGTAATTTTATTCTGGGGGATTGTTGGCTGTGACATCAAGAGAATCTCTCTTTTCAAATTGTGCCATGAGATCCTTACCTAGAAGTTCACCTAGAAGTTAAGGTCCTTAAAGCAAAATATTTGAGTTTTATCTGTGGGATTAAACTATACTTTGTACCTGTTGCAGATATGCAGCCCCTATTGAAGATGGTTCCCAATACTTCATTCTTCTCATCATTACTGATGGAGTCATCTCAGATATGGCACAGACAAAGGAATCCATTGTCAATGTAAGTTTTGTAGCATATAAAGGCATTGTTAAATCAGTGCTGCCAAGTTAGAATGATACTAGAATTCCTGTTCATAGAAATTCCACCTGGGTCTTGAATTACTTTACTTATTTGTGTAGCGCTAGCTGTACCTGTTGCAGCTTTGCTTGCAACCAAAGGATCCAATATGGAATGTAGATTGACACACAGACAGACACACAGACAGACATTTCATCTTTATCTATACTCAGCAGGGAGGACTCCTGTGGGAAGACTCCTTTTGGAAGGAAACCTAGGGGAGGACTGCTAACAAAGCTACACGAAACAAAGGGGTCAATTCATTTTGCCCTATTTTTGCAGTTGTTTCAGCATTCAAGTCCAGCCGTGCTGTTCTTTAATTGGGCAATTAATTTTGCCATGTTCTTGCATGCCTTTCTGTGTCAAATTCCACCCGTGCTGTTCTTTGAGCAGGCAACTCATTTTGCCTTGCTCTTGCAGAACTTTCAACATTGAATTCCATCCGTGCTGTTCTTTGTTTTTCAGTTTCATTTAATCGGCCTTCTCTCTTTCGCCTAGCATTTGTCCTTGAAAGGTTTGATCTTCGCTTCTTAGGCATCTTCCCTTAAGATTAAGAAAATGTGCTTTTGGGAGGACTCCTGTTGGGTGGACTGAGTGGAAAGACTCAGTGGGAGGACTCCTGGTTGGGAGGAGTCATGTTGGGAGGACTTTAGCTCCTTTGACAACCCATAAAAACTGCCATACATTTATTGCAGAACATATTAGTATAGATGTATCATTTTTAGAAGGGCGTGTACTTTCCTCTCTCCCTACTTTGTTGCAGAATACCATGCATTCCTCATATTATGGGGGTTAAATAAAGGATTTTTTAAACATAGCTCATCAACGATGGGAGATGCCGTAAAGACAAAAATGCCCATGAACACTCTTACATGCAAGATCTTTCCAATGAGATATAAATCATGTCTCTATGTCAATCAGTTATTGCGTTATTGGCGGAAACACAGACACACAGACACTTTGTCTTTATTAGTATAGATTACAGAGCATCCAGATTTATTACAATTCTTATATGTAGCTTTAATTTAGAAGCTATTTTGGGCAAATATCTTTCCAGAATCACAGAAAATCAGCTTCAGTTAAACTGAATTCAACAATTTGTCAAATTCTGAACATTGTGAAATGCTACATTAAAGAATACGTATTTACTTGGATGGAGTTTCTCCCTACTTGTGTGCAGCCACAAAAGGAAATATTAGCACTAGCAGAGATAATTAATGGAAAATGATTCTTCTGTACTAATGAAGACGAAATGTCTGTGTATCTGTCCGCTACAAACGCAATAACCAATTGACATAGAGATATGAAGTATAGCTCGTCGGAAAGGTCTTGCAAGGGGGCGTGTCATGGACGTTTTTTGGGGGGATCATCTATCATTATATGAAGTATAATAATAAAGAATAATAAATCTAATATAAAATGTAATAGTCTAATATAAAGTATAATAATACTGAAATCTACATTCCATATTGGATCCTCTAGTTGCAAGTATAGTTGCAACGAGTACAGCTGGTTCTTTATATACGAAAAAGTCCTTGTCCATTGATTATTAATCTATACAAAGAGCAACAGGAGGCCTTCTGTGTGTCCAATAAATTACAAAAGTCACGTATCTATTGATAAGGAATAAACATGTGTCATTCTAGCTCTGAGTCAGAAGTCAAAAGGTTGTGGATTCAAGCCCTATGTCGGCACTTTGAACTGACACATAAGGCAAACACTCCAATGCAGTGGTGGGAGTATAATTTTCTTTGGATGAACCGTTAAACTCAGTGTTTTTTTCTGCATGTTCAGGTGGATGTTAAAGATCCCATGGCACTAGGCAAAAAGAGAAAGGTGTTCTAGCCAACAGCTGCCCAAATAAAATTGGGCATGGTGACCTTATGATCTGGAAGTCAATCATTTTTGTAGTTCAAAGGGTTAAAAAAAAATGTTTTTAAAAAATGTTTTTAAAAAAATGTTTTAACAATGGGAATTCATTTTTCTCAGTTTGGAGAAAATTGGAAATAATAATAATCCTTGCATTTGATATAGTGCCATTATTATTCACACCGTTGAGATGTCTCAAAACACAGAAAAAAACATTTTCTTCACAGAAAATATTGTTTAGTGGATTGACTGTGGGCAAAACATGGCAGCCAATTGTGCACAGTAGTGTCCCACACAAAGCTGTGGATTGAGTGACCAATTTGTTTTTCCTGGAGGAATCATAACCCCAAAAAGCAATCCATCAATCGACTAACAACCGGCATCTTTCCATTGTGAAGAGCGCGATACAAGTATAATTTGTTCTTGTTGTTCCTACTGACTGTTAGCTAAACAGAGGCACGTGGAGTAATGAAACTTATGGAGTAAGGAAACTTGCCTAAGATTTCGTCCTGCCTGGGAATCAAACCTGGGTCCTCTCTTGCTAGTTGAGCGAGCTAACCAATATGCCACGTGACTCCATGGCAGAAAATCCGACGAGTACCAATTTTTACCAATTAAGATCAGAAATCCACAAGCCTACTTATATTTTCTGATATGCGAACAATTGTTAAAAATATCAGCAGGCAAGCTGACATTGGTCCACATTAAGCATAGCGTATAAAAATAATTCTGTTTACTGCAGTAGCGATAACCCTTGTTCGTAGAGACTACTACTCTTTGATGCTCCTTAAAGCCTGAAAGGTATAGCAGTCCATCTCAGTAGGTAATGCTTGTTAGCCTTGACATTTGCTTGATGTGTTTTTTTGTTGCCGTCGCTTTGCTGTAGGCAGACACCCATTTCCGATCATTTCTTTATACTAGCAGATGTTGTGTGCTCCTGGCAAGGCAGAGAAACATAAATAATTCAGGAACCTTGCTGTACTGCTTTCAATGCCATTCACATTGGTGTGGAACTCAATTGCTATTATTATGTGAAAATTATATTTTAACCATTTTATTTTTAATGTTCTGAATGTTGCGTGACACTTTTTCTACAATTTATAGCTATTTCATAGTATATTTGTAGCCAGTAATAGGGCACATGGAAATCTTACCTCTTTATTACAGAGAGAATTATATGAATGTGACTACATCTTTTTGAGTTTGTTTGATTGCTGGAAGCCCTTAAGCATAATAAGACTTCTTTCACTTTATTAGAAACATTTTGAAATTAATAATATTTTTGATAGGGTAAATAGGGACAAGCTATATTTATAGGGGACTCAGTGACTAGAAGACATAGATATAAGATAATCACAAGAAAAGCGAAAGGAGAATTTATGAGAACATTTATCACAAAATTGTTTAGACTTGGATCACGTCATAAACCTCTCCCTGTCTACCATTCCCATCCCTTTTAAAATGTTCGTCATCATTCCTATCCTTCAAAAGCCCTCCCTGGACATATTCCTGCTCTCAAACTACCGCCCCATCTCCAACCTCCCTTTCCTCTCCAAGGTCCTGGAACAAGTCATTGCTTCCCAGCTTCGCTCTTTCCTCACCAGCCACTTGCTTCATGAACCCTTCCAATAGGGTGACCGTGCCACCTACAGCACAGAAACAACCCTGGTCAAAGTGACAAATGACATTCTGCGACCAGGGCTCCCTCTGCCTCCTCATCCTCCTTGACCTTCGACACTGTTGACCACCACCTCCCATCGACCGCCTCTCCTCTCATCTCTGTCTTTGAATGGTTCAGATCGTACCTCTCACACTGCCTCCACTTCATCTCCACAAACGTTTTTTCCTCTAGATCCTGCACCATCTCGAGCAGTATTCCTCAGGGCTCTGGCCTTGGTCTCCTCCTCTTCAATATGTATATGCTCCCTCTTGGTGACATCATCTGCAGACATGGGGTCAGCTTCCATTATGTATGCAGATGACACTCAACTGTAGCTCTCTGCCTCCATGCTTGACTCCAGAACCACTGCTGTCCTGACAGAATGTCTGTCAGACATCAAGTCCTGGATGAAAGCTAACTTTCTTCAGTTGAACGTCCACAAGACCGAGGTCCTCCTAATTGGCTCCTGTCAGCGCCTTCAGTCCTCAGGCGCTGACAGCATCACCATCCACGGATGTACACTCAACCTTACTAGGCCAGTCCAGAACCTTGGCGTCGCGTTTGACCCTTAATTATCCTTTCTACCCCACATCTATGCCATGACCTGCTCTGCCTTCCCCATCCCCACAACATTACTCGGCTCCACCACTGTCTCACACCTCACGCCGCTGAAACCCTCATACACGCATTCATAACATTGAGGCTTGACTATGCAAAAGCCTTGCTTATCAACTTCCCCATCTCCTCCCTCCGTAGGTTGCAGATCATCCAGAACTCTGCAGCCTGTGTCCTCTTCCGCACCAGGCTCCATGACCCTATCATCCCCATCCTCGCCTGACTCCACTGGCTTCCCATCACACAGAGGATATAGTTCTAGATCCTGGTCCTCACCTTCAAAGCCCTCTATGTGCTTTCTCCTGTCTACCTCTGTGACCTCCTAACACTCTACCATCCTGCCCGCTCCCTCAGCTCAGTGGGCTCCAGCCTGTTTCACGTCCCCCGCCTTGCCGGCCCCACCATTGGCAGGTGGGCCTTCTGCCGCTCTGCCCCCACCCTCTGGAACTCCATCCTGCTGTCCCTCCTCCTCACCCCCTCCCTTACCTCCTTCAAGACCCATCTCAAGACTATCCTTTCGTGCTTTCGATTACCCTGCTTCCCCCCTGCCCTCCACCCTCCCCAATCCCAACCCACTGTCCAGCACCTTGGGATGTCCTCCTGACGTGAAAGGCGCTATACAAGTGTAATTTTGTTATTGTTCACCAAGGTCCTGTCAGTTTATTCAGATGGACATTAAAGGTCTCATTGGACCAATTATTTCTTTCTTTCTTCTGGCAAACAATTCCTCAAATAAAATTTAGTCATTCACTTCATGGTTGTTTGTGGGACATTGTGTTTGTGATGATGCAAATTGGCTGTCATGTTAGTCTACAAAAATACTACACTTTACAATAATTTGAGATGTCTTCAAGACGTCTCAAAGCGCCTCACAGAATATACTGTAAAGTGAACTGACTGTATATTTGTGGGCAAAATGCGGCAGCCAATTGCGCACAGCAGTGTCCCACAAACAGTCATGGATTGAAGTGACCAATTTTTTTTTGAGGGATTATTATCAGGCATGTAGAGTAGGGAAACTTGCCCAATGCTTTACCCTGCCGGGAATTGAATCCAGGATGTCACTTACATGTAGGAATGTTGAGGTAGATGGTTTTAAGACAGGATAAAGATACAAAACTGCGAGCTCACTTCAATGTGCAGCAGCCTAACCGCACAACACACCCTCAGCCATCTGTGTCACTTAAAAATCAGCAAAAGAATCTGCAGCTTTACAAAACCTCCTGATTCCACTCATCCTCCAGAAAATTAGGTGGGAAACAGTTCTTGCTGTTTTTAAGTGGCTGCTGCAACCCTGATTCTACAAACTTCTCTTCTTGATTGGGAGACAGCTGCTTCCCTCACCAGCAGGAAAAACGTCTCTCCCAGCGGGAAAGGAGTTTGGCTCACAGACTGGATAATGAATTGGCTATTAAATGGGGATAGTTTAGAGTATTTAAATAATATACAAAAGCAATCTCCATCCTCCATAGTTTGGTTCTGAATTGGTAGGTAAAACCTGTACGAACATTTCTTCTTGTAAATAACATATTCTCTTGTAAGCACACAAAGAGGTATCAGTATGCATAACATTATGGCATTAAATGTAAAGTAACATTCCTTAACATATACACATATTGCATATAGTCATCCCTCCAAACCTGGAACAGTCAACATTTATTTACATATCTAGAGGCATCACAAATGACAATTTAGAAATATCGAACACTAAATTCTTTCCTACAATATAAATCCTCTGAAATTGGAGATGTATGTGTTAAGTTTTCAAAGTATTTGAAATAAATGTATGCAATATGTCATTTTTACAGTATATTGTATCTTTGCACTTCATGAAAATTATTAATTGTGTTAACTTACTGTTTACCAGTGCACTTAAAATTCCAATTTACCAGCAAGTGCATGTAACCCCTAATATGTTCATGAGCAACTGGGATCTTGGATACAGCACAGAGATGTTTACAGAGTGACACTGCCATTGTCCTTTTGTGCTAAATATTTTAAATATCTGAAAGTCTCAAAAATGTCTTTCAAGATCGTAACTCAGTTTTTTTTCTCTTGTTTAAGGCCGCTTGTTTTCCAATGTCGATAATTATTGTTGGGGTTGGACCAGCAGAATTTGATGGTAAGGAAACAATATATTGATTACAACAAAACCCAAAAAGGTGCATCAGTTGATTTGTTTTATACACAATTGTACCAACAGGAGCCTATAATTGACATGTTTCTCAAACCACTACAATACAATGCGTTACATTTTTGTGAACAATGGAATGAAAAGTTCATACTTGAGGGAGTAAGGAAAAGCAAGTTATGCAAGAGGGGATTAGGAGATGCAAAAACTCATGTGGAGTGTAAATAGCAGCATGGACTAGTTGGACAAAATGATCTGTTTCTGTGCTGTAACTTTCTATGTAATTCTATCTAAGCTCTGATATTTGATGTGATCATTATCCTTTAGCATTCAAAAACTAGAAGGGCTCCTTTAGACTGAATGTTCAAGTGGTGGGGTTTCCAGTGGCTGTATTTTGTAATCAGTCATTGTTTCCCAGGGGCTATACATAATGCTCATATTCTCTCGTTCTCTGAGATGTCCAAAATGTCTAGTGGTCCCAATAGACTACACAGGTAGCTCCTTGGTGACAAGAGATATGGTCTCAATCCATGGCTTACAAAGATTTACAAAGAATGTACAGCATGCAAATAGTCCTCTCAGCCCAACTAGTCTGTGCCTGTGTTTATATTCCACATGTTTATACTCCCATTCCATATTCCCTCTATTCTAATAAATTACAATATATTTGAGGGCTTTGAGATGACTAAACAACGTGATAAAGCGCAATATCAAATGCAACAATTATTATTCCCCTCTCCATCGTGAAGGTCTAGCTTCCTCTTGAATCCATCTATACTGTCTGATTCAACCACTGCTTCAGACAGTGAGTTCCACAATCTCACTATCCTCAGTGTGAAGCAGTTCCTCCTAAATTCTCTTTTTGATCCCCCTTTCACTATCTTACATTTGTGTTGCTGGTTACAGAATCCCTAGCCAGCAGAATTTATGTTAACATTATCAAACCATTTTATAATTTTAAACACTTCTTAGGTCCCCTCCAAAAGTTTTTTCTCTCTAGTGAAAAAAGGCCTTGCCTATCCAGTCTATTTTTAGAGCAGTAACTTGCCAGCCTTGGTATCATCCTCGTATACCTACACTAAACTCCTTCCATCGCTGCTATATCCTTATAGTGTAGAGACCAGCATTGGACACAATACTCCAAATGTGGTCTAACCAAGGTTTTGTATAAATTCAACATAACCTTCCTCGCTTTTATATATTTTTTTCCCTTTGGATATAAAACCTGAGACCACATTGGCCTTTTCCCTGCATTTTATCTGCCATCTGTCTGCCCATTCTGCTAAACTGTTTGTCTTCCTGCATTCTTCAACAAGTTCTTCACTGTTTACTATTCCCCCCCAGTTTGGTGAAATCTGCAAATTTTGACACCATGCCTCCTATACATGAATCCAAATCATTCATGTGTATGGCTCCTCACCCAAGGCAAGCTCATAGACCTTGGCTGAGGAACATTGCACAGGTACAAATTGAGAACATCTTTGAAGTATTGAAACAATTGTTTAAATCACTCGGGTGGCCACCCAATCAAAGTTTACAAGGTAGTTGTAGCAGTATGTTACACACTATTGTAGAGGACTGGTCTTCCTAATTCAGGAGATCTGGCTGAATGCCCGCAGATTGTGTTTGCAGATTGTGGGAGGTAAGGAAAGATTAAACTTCTGATGAGGCATTGGCAGCCATTCACCAGGTAGAGCTGCCCATCAGGAATCGATGGCGAACATTCACCCTTTGAGAGCAATGTCCATGGAAGCATTGTGCAACATAGATTGAGTCTGGGTGAGAACCCTATTTTTCCTATTATGCGGTTTGGGACAAGAGTGTGTGATAGGAATTATTGGTGATGGGAATGTCTTTTCAACGTTGGTGGGATATTTTTCTTCTGTAGGCGTGTTACACCTTCTACTTTGGTCATGTTGCTGTTTATGAAAACGCAGCCCAATAATATGGTGAATATATCTTTTAAAGTGTTTTAATAAGAATAAACTATTTACAATATATACATGCCCTAACAGTGTACCCAACATCAGGGCGCTATGGTGAGTATTTGTTGCTTCCTATGCTCCGCCCGTTGACTTCTCTGCAGTGAGTGCTTGCTACCCTGACTTAGTGCATCCAAATCTTGTATGGGTGGAACAGAGGGATAGGCCTCCAATATTTGTGACCTCAGAGGCAGAAGGAGGAGGAGGCAAAGAAGAGCAACTTTGTCCACTGGCACATCTATGTCTCCCAGAGGCTCTTTTACTTAGGCCCATTTGAGTAGGGGTGGAGGTGGGCTTATGTGTTGTGGATTTTTGAACCCCTGGTGCCTTCTCGGTCTTATTGACCACCTTTGATACTAAATGCATTTTAGTCTGGTTTCTTGGAAGAGGATGTGTGCTCCCAAACAGGGGCGCTAGCCAGTGGGCAATTCAACCCCTTTTGGCCTGCTTGTATAGCGCATCACTAATACCTGAGAGCTAATTTCCTGCAAGTTTGCCATCAGTATCCTGTCATCTTTTTCCTTATCTGCAAAACATGGCAGTCAGTTGTCACAAACAGCATTCCAGGCTTCATCTGTCTGTTCACTCTCACCATCAGCTGGTTGCTGTGGTTCCAGTGTTCTAATCATTCCAGATTCCCAACTACGGTATTCTCTCCTGCCCTGCATTCCTCAAGAGTTGCTCTTCTTTGCCTCCTCTGCTCTGTCTCATACACACTGAGGACCTTCAGGCCGTTTAGCCTCAGGTGCTTCTTCTACCAAATGCACTTCCTTCCCTCCGTCCCACTCACCCTTGCAATGTGTTGCGACTGACCTCGTGTGTCCCTTGCTCCGCCTTATCCTCTTAGGTTTTGTTCTCTGAGTGGCGACATGGTGCGATAGAGTCTGTGTAGACTATGTACAGATTCTGACTCTATGCGGGGTGTGGATCTTTTTGGAAGAGACGAATGTCCCTGAGCCTTCACTGAGATCTTTGCCTTAAAGTTCTTAATATGATTGTCTTCCTTCACCTCCAGATAAAATTGGTCATTCACTTCATTTTACAATTACAGCTGTTCGTGGAACATTACTGAATGCAAATTGCTGCTGTGTTCAACAACAAATACAGTCACTACACTTTACAGTAAAATCCTGTGAAGTGCTTTGAGACATTTTGATGATGTGATAAGGCGCTATAACGAATGCAAGGTTACTGTTATTTCTAAATAATTATGGACTGTCATCATTGATTCATTCATGAGAGAAACCTTCATGTAACACATATGAATTGTCTAATATAAATTATGATGATTAAATCATACTCTATTATCAAGATTGTTAAAAGGCCACCCATCAAAATAATCCAATTCATATTTACGCTCAGGATGCTCTTTGATTACTGAATATTGGATTTCCATGTGGTGGCTTGTGATTGATTTATTATCTCCAAAACAGACGAACCAACTGGAATCTAGACAGATTAGAGAGTTTGGATAACAAACGGTAAATGTCATTTAATTTGGATCAATACAGCAATGAAATTGGGGAAAGAGAATGAACCATGCAATGGCATTACAGGAAGCTGTAGGGGAATATCAGTGAACAATTTGCTAAAAGCATTGGCACAGTGAATGGAAACAGTAAAGTTTCAAACAAAATTGGGGTTTGCAGCTAAAATTAACTAATTTCTTGATTGACATTGAGGCCTCAAACCTGGAACACCAAATTGGTATCAAGTAAACTTTTGTTTGGACAGTGTGGATTTTATCCCTCCTCAGCAAATCAAAAGAGAGAGAAAATAATATAAATAGAATCCACACTAGAATTTACAATCATGACTCACTCACAATCATTTCAAAATCTGGCCCCCCAAAAAACTAGAAGTCACTAAATCTGAAAAAGGGACCAACTTTTACTGGGTGGGGTGTGCTGCCACCTAGAGGCCATGAATTAACACTGGCAATAGTTGAAATGCCACAAACTTTGCCTCATTATTTGGCATAATCTATTTTTTGTCTCTAGAATATTGCGTCTGACCCATTATTCTGATAATTCAAAGTAAATCCCATCACCCTGAAAACCTTTTGGGTTACTTGAAAAATCTGTATTTGCAATAAAGACACTGTCGAGACATTCAATAGCAAAATAGTAGATAACATAATAAAGATGCTATTACAAGACATGTCTATTACAAGAGCAGTTTTTAATTATTTCAAAAGGTTCTTCAGCATTTAGTGATTAATAATCCAAAAGCACTTTTGCAGTCCCCAGGAGAGTCTCCCTTTAGGAAGGAGAGGATACAAGCCTATTAATAATACAAAAAGCTATTCCTCGGAGTGCTACCTCTGATTTTTTTTTTGTTCTCATTTCAGAAGATTTGAAGTGGTTAGTCAGCTGTGAAAAACTCATACTATGCAATTAGGAAGATTTCATTTTGAAATATTAACAGAAAACGCTGCAAATACACAGCAGCTCATAAGCACCTGAAAGAGAAAAATAGGTTAATATTTTGAGAATGACTCGGAATTGGAACCTTTTTGATATCAGATGACAAGCTTTTTAGAGAGCATTAAAAGAAACTGAAAAACACTTCTGATCTAGGGTCGAATGATATCGATATACAATCTATGGAGCTAACTATGTTACTTTATTTTAATAAAGTAGTTGGTGACCATTTTGAGCAAAAACCTTCTTTCAAAGAATGATGATTCCAATACCAAACCTTTCAGCAAGATTTGAATTCTTTCTAGAAAACTATCACTCTTCTTATTTGAAGAGTTAAGGACAGTTAGGTTTATGACAAGATAAAAGGGGAGACAGAATCAGTTATTACCATTAAATATAATAAATGATTTTAACTACTTATTACTTATGGTGATCCAGAGTGATATAACAAAAACTGTGCTGTGGGATGTGAGTTTGTACCAATTTGTCTCAGCTCAGCTACTGAATGGCTAAGAGGTGCAAATCATTCACTCAGAGAAAGAAAATTGAAGCACCAGTTAAGTGGATTTGCACTCAATTTCTTCGAAACAGGATTCTTACTTTGAAATGAAAGTTCTGATCAAATACAAGCATCACACTATTTTGATTTTCCAGGGTGCGTTTAGGCAGATGTCAATTGATGGATTCCTGAACTTTTTTGAACTGGAAAAAGTATGTTTTTAAAACAAAGCAATCAACGCAAAAAGTTATAAAATGTTTCGTCAACAAAATATTCCGTCAACTCACATTACAGTATATTCTGTAAAGCGCTTTGAGACATCTCAAAGACATAATAAGACACTATAACAAAAAATCCAAGGATAAAATAGCAAAATTATTATAGAGAGCTGAGCAAAATAAGGCCATTCATTTCAATAATAAGCCTGTTTCAGCCAAAATTTGTGTTTAAAAAAAACATAAAATTTGAAACCTATTTGAAACCTAAGTATCATTGCATTTCGCAAAAAAATCTTATGAAGTACTGTGAGATGTTTTGAGAATATGATACAAGGATTATTATTAGTATTTTATTCCACACCCTCCTGGAGGAGGTCAAATAAACACATCCCCTCCACAGGTACCCTCCATAGTCAAATCATTTTTTGATGGTTTCGCCCACAAAATATACTTTACAGTGTATTCTGTGATGCACTTTGAGACGTCTCAAAGACATTATAAGGCACTATATAAAATGCAGGGATTATTATTACAATTATCTTTGCCCCGAAGAGGAAATAAAACAATGTGTTCAGTAGTTTCCACCCCAACACTATTTCCACTCCAGTGTTTATGCATATTGTTCCTGAAGAACTTAATTGATACAACCTGAGAGTTTTCCTGTGAGTTTATTCTTCTGTTAGGAAACAATTTTGCTAATCCCTACATCTGTCTGAGATTTTGAACGTATATGTTGTAGTTCTACCTTCATGGGCACCTGATCACTCGAGTTACTTGTACCTGAACCGGTTTGGAGATTTGTTAAATAAGGATACATCAGTCTAGTCCATGGAGAAATAGTAACAGATCAATTCTGAAAAAGCTCTTTCTCAGCCTTTTGTTCTGTGGTGGTATAATGATAGCAATGGCAGGTTAAGGCTGCATTTTACATTGCTTCTCTTCTCTCAATATAGTACCAATATAGGGGTTGAGCGTTTAAATTGCAGCAATTTGTAAACTGATAATTTAATAAAGATTCCAGAAATATTTCTAAAGCCTTCTGTACTGCAGTGGTATAATCAGTATTTTTCACGCGCATTTTACATCACTTCTGTTCTCTGAATGTAGTATCAAGGCACTGAGGTCAAATTGCAGCAATTTGTAATAGGATGCCTTAATAACTACTCTGTGTTACAAATGGGGAACCCTTCCGGTTATGAGAAGTACATGCAACCCATCCGCAGGAACTTTGATCTGACACAATGTAATTCCAGAGTGGAATTCCCACAATTTGCATTTCTGGTATTGAGACCAGAATCCCTATTTGCAACTCAGAGTCCTTATTCTGTTATATGAATTGCCACAATTTAGAGCCCGATTGTAACACCATTTTGCCTGTAGCTGACTGTGCCATTGGGCTTTAGAGATTATAAGCTTACCTTTACTATTTCTGCATGAACACATGGGTACCATTGGCTTACATCCACTTAATTCCTATGATTGAAATAGTTATTTTTTCTTTTGTGCTTGCAGCAATGGAGGAATTAGATGGGGATGAGATTAGGATATCCTCAAGAGGCAGATATGCTGAGAGAGATATTGTTCAGGTAAGACGTTCAAGATGTTTTATGAATGTATTATTAGGGATGATCGGGTTAGATTGATGCTGTTACGCATATATCCTGTTCTCCTTTTTGATACTGAAGAAAAGATTGCCCTTGGCAATTGATCAGCAGACTTTTTTGTACAGATATAAGTTTTTTTCCAAATTATTCAAAACAATTTCAATAAATAATGTATTTAGTGTTTATTCAGCGGATTTCCCTTGCAGTTTTACACCCTGAAAACACTGATGTCACATTTAAAAGGGACAATATCAATAACAATTTACATTTATATATGGATTCCTGTAGCATATTGGATAAAGCCCTCGCCTTACAAGCAAGAGGACCTAGGTTTGATTCCCGGCAGGATGATACCTTAGGCAAGTTTCCTTAATCCACAAGTCTCTGTTTACCTAGCAATGAGTAGGAACCCGGTTGTTAGTCAATTGGCGGATCGCTTTTCCGTGAGGTAATAATCCCTTCAAAATAAATCAATAATAATTTGGTCAGTCAATCCAAGACTGGGACACCGCTGCCGTGTTTCACCCAAAATATACTGTCACTACACTTCACAGTATATTCTGTGAAGTGCTTTGAGACGTCTTGAAGAGGTGATAAGGCGCTATATCAAATGCAAGGATTATTATTATTATAGTGCCTTTCATAACAATAATATCTCAATAGCTATACTGAACATACTGTTAGTACAAATGAGGATCAAAATGATTGACAGCCATGGCCAGAACAGTAGCTCACTGATACTGAATTATAGAAAACTAAAATGAGTAATTTACTGAGGAATAAGCAAAGGAAATTAGTGATGTCTCTTGGTATTAATAGCTTTATTTACATAATGTAATTGCAAACTAGTGAGATGCCTTCATCAGTTTTGAAGAAAAAATAATCAGTCCAAAGCAGCCAAAGTCCAGATGTGCACATTGAATAATTAAATGACATTGATGCTGCCCAGTGGAACAGTCCGGTCGGTCACTCATTTTAAATAAGCCATATAATGCACTGTAGCTTTTTAATTAATTTACAGTAGAGAAAATACTTGGAGCTGCCTGAGCTATGTAACTAAGCCTGTTCAATGTCAGAACATTATGTTTCTTACAATTATTTTTTGTGGACAGTTGAATTTACAAGGAATAAATTTCATGCCACCTCAAAACAGCTTATTTCTCAGACCTCCCATTTACTGTATTTAGTAGGATTGTTTTCAGCTTATTTCATGCCTCAAAGAAGGAGCTTTGCTTTCCAATCCTTTTGCTTTCAGCCAGAGGAAGCAAAGCACTACAAAAATTTCACTCAGCTATGAGAAGCTCTTCATATTTACATCATTAATTAATTTAGAGTTTCAAGTCCCATTCTCCTTTATTCTATTTTTGACACTGTGGAGCAGCATCACTGAGACGCACAGTGTGCCAAGTTTTCTGACACTTTTAGCTGGACAATGATGTGAGACTTGAAATCCAATTGATCATTCAGGCTTTTCACACAGCACTAACTAAGAAATAGTAAGCTACATAAATGTTGCATTTGTAAGTTACATCCTTCACAGTGATAAATAAATGTTAAGAAGAAAATGACAGTGATACACCAAAAATAAAAAATGTAGTTGATCTGTACAGTAACACTATTATTGGAAAATCACAAAACATTACATTTCTGATTTGCACATCTCTTAACTCGAAGACTATACACCTGCATTGTGAGCTTTCTTATTCACAGCTTGAGCATCTGCAATGAACACCACCTTGTGCCATTACACAACTAGAGCAGGGGTGATGCCATGTGTCATTATAGTGGCGTGGGAATGCAGTAAGCTATTGGGTATATTGTGTGCTAAGTAATATTTTCATATGGAGCCCTGAAAACATTACAAAATTGCTTGAGCAAGCGCATCCTCTTTGTGTTGTAAATGTTATACTGACAAAACACATTCAGCACTCATGATGATAACATGACAGGCCAGCTTCATTGCGTAAACAATCCACAATGCAACAAATAGAAAAATGGCATTCTCTGTATGCAAGAGACACTTCTTTCTACCATTAGAAGTCAGATAATAATACACTATAGCAGCCTCATTGCACAGCTGCTATATGCAACATAAAGGAATTACAGCTTTATCTTGCTTAAGTGAAGGTAGAGCTAATGAGGTCAGTGGTGCTTTAGTTGTGGCCTATTGATTTTTTGGCTCTATCTTGAATTGAGACAGTTGTAGGTTAATTTGATTACCTGGATTGCAAGCTGATAGATACACAGCTGTGGGAACATGCATTTGGCTTGATGCTTGCTGATGTCTCAGAGAAATCCCCTTATTTCTTTCTCTCTCTGCTCCAGGCACCCACAAGAAGCAGTTTCTGGGATGGCTACCCTTGCTACAATGGGCTGTTCCTTGTTGCTATGTAAACTCAGTATAGAAACTAATCTTTCTCTCCTTCCCTCCATACATAGCACCCCAGCCTTTCTTTCACTTACACAATATCATTCCCTTTTCTTTCCCTCCCCACGGCCCAATACACAGTTTCAATGTTCCTTTCCATACCATGGTTCCCTTTACCAACCTTCACACTCTTCTTGCTTCCTCAGGTCTTCCCTCATGGTATTTGGGTTTGGAAATTACAAAAGTGATTGGGAACCAGTATGGTTTGGTCTGGTACTAGTGTGAGATCATGGTGCTGCTGGAGTTGTGTTGAGTCACTGTGTAGTTTGAGGTACCAGGAAGCACCCTTGCTTCAGGTCAGAGTGTTGTACATTCAAGGTCCAAGTCAGTAATCAAGAGCTTAGGAAGCCCTGCATGGTCATAAAAGCTGACAATAGATGAGATATTAAATCAAGCTTTTGACAGCCTGTTGAACATTAAAACTTCCATAATCCTACATGAAAAGAGAAGGGATTTTCCCTTGATACCCTGGCCAACAATTAATTACTCATTCATCTCCTGGCTGTTTGTGGGATCTCGGTTGTCATACTAGCTTAAAAAAAATTACACTGAGACGTAATTACCTGTGAAGTGCTTTCAGAAATGTTGACATGATAAGGTGCTATAAAAATGTACATTCTGTCTTTCTTTCAGTGTTAGACAGAAAATAATGTCTTGATCAAAAGCATTCCGAATTCATTTTTTACATGGTCCAATATAAATCCGTTTATGTTGCTGCTAGAAAATTGTGGTACGGTTTATTGATTTTACTTCAGTATGAAGATAAATTTTGTTTTGGAACCATTTTCTGAGGTATCTTTGTGATATTTGTCCTTTTAGATTCTCATTGTGGATTTTTGTTTCTCAGACTTAACTTTAAGAATTATGTTTATTTCAGTTTGTGCCATTCCGGGATTATGTTGACAGAACTGGAAACCATGTGCTGAGCATGGCTCGACTGGCAAAGGATGTCCTCGCTGAGATTCCAGATCAGTTTCTCTCGTACATGAAGTCAAGAGGAATTAAGCCTTCTCCTGCTCCACCCCCATATACCCCCCCAGGTCACCTTTTGCAGACACAGATTTAAAAATAGTCCTTTCAACATTCCCAGATCAGCACTGCTGGCCAGAACCGTTTCCAGTGGCCGAGCCAGTTCCTTTTATCAGGTTGCACTAATAAAGACTTATGGATGTTGCCAGATCTCCATTTTAAAAAAAAGCATGAAGAGTTTCTGCTGGGCTTCATGTTGTATGATGTTAAGGATATTTTCCTCAGCCAAGTAGTAGAGAGGGGGTATACAAGGGCACACTGATGCTTTCATAGGGGCACAAAAATCCTCTGTTATAGCTGAAATATCTCCCTTTGAACAGTAACCTTGTGAACATTTCTGAAGAAAGTTTTTTTTAAAAAAGCAATGGTGTTGGAAATGAAAAAAGAAAGTTTAAACATGAATGGGAAGTCAGATGCTCAGTTCTTGTAAATAATTCTGAGAATGTGCAGTTCCTCCTTCTTTTAATGTTTACACGTTGATTCTTTTTACAGTTGATTCGTTTTTATAACCGTATACTTCCTATAAAAGCAGTTTTAAATATTGAAATAATTGTGATTGCTAGTTTGCTGCACCTCCATTTGTTTTTGACTACGTCAGAGGGTGATGCCTGCTTCACTACACATAATGACAGTGTGCATGCCTGTACCTATCAGGTAAATGTGCTAGAAAAAAATAAGTGCACAAACATGTGACCTTGTGCCCATGAACTCTTGTTTATTAAGTTGTCAAAATGATTTGTAATATGCTTGTTTGGATCTTACAGCACGTGTTCTCGCTGCATGTACAGTTTTTAAACAGAAATGCACTGTTTTGTGAGTAGTGTGTCAGACTAAAATAAGTACAAGATGGCCTTAAATCCTCAGTAAATATTATAATGACCTTTTGCATTATGCCTTTGAATATTGAAAAAACACAAATAGTTTTGTGCCAATAGTCTAGCGGCTTTTTATTTTTTCCACTGCAGTGGAAACATACTGCTTGCTTTATTTACTATATTGTATTTGTATGAAAATTTTGAAAATTGATAAGTTTCAATAACAGGGTCAAAACACAGGGTGGATTTTTGCAGGGTGATTGCACAGAATAAAGAATAAAACTACTTGTTCTGTTACTACAAATCACTTTCTGGGGCAAAAATGTTTTTCATTCGATTCTTAAATTTTCTAAAATGTACATCAGTATCCTAATATACTATATTATGTATATATAGTATAAGAAATTTAAACAGAATAGTTGTTGCTGTGTTTATACCACTGCTTTGCTCCAGGCCTTGTTAGCACCATGTGGAACAGGAAGCTCGTATCACATTTCCTGCTCTGTAATGTTTCAACTAGGGCTGAAAAACAAACCCTGACTTGTGCATTGAACATTGAAAATAGGACATTTTTTTAGTGTGGTTAAAGAGCTGTTCATGCAATCGTCTCTCTACTAACATGAAAACACAGTCCATTTAGTGTTCCTGGGGCTTCAAATGGATGCTTCAAATGGAATGAGTCGGTGTCAGCTCAGTGTGATTCACAACGGTCTGGTTTATACTGTGCGGATACAAATCACATTGCTTCTGACACCACCTTTACTAAGCAGTTTCAGAAGCAGAGCTCAAGTGTGATTTGAATTGTCTAAACCCAGCTCTCCTCCTCCCAGTTGTCTAAACTCACCTCTTCTCACCAAGTACTGCAAGCTTGTAGTTAAATTGAAATTGATGGTAATTTGTTGCCAGATGTGCAGTGTAACCTGTTTCAGTACCAAATACAGTAAGTCCAAAATAAATCAAAACTATTTTATTGACAGAATAGACCAGAGCTTTCAGCACCTATAAGAATTATTTAATTGCTATAGGGTTGTTGCAAGATTATTCTCACAGCAGTGTATCATGTTAATAGTTTTGATGGCATACTGGTGGCTTTAAAACCATTGATCTGTGCATTGATCTCAGCAAAAGTAAATAATGGCAAGTAAGGACTTCCATAGTGGATCTACCAAGAGCCCTGAATGATTTTTCCTCCTCAAAAATGAATGGTGTGAAATTCCCCCCTCACCACATACTTATCAGCGTCTCACGCTCCAGATTCTCTGGGATCCTGTACAGGGCAGGAGTCTCCAGTGACTGCACAAGTGGCATTACATAAAATTGGCATTGGAATATTTCCACACATTTCCACTATTGACGTCACACTAGGTGTGATATTGATTGTGATCATTAAATTGGAGTCCAGGATTTTGGTCACATTACATCTTTAGGATTTAAATTATTACCAACATGTTTTTTATGAATTCAAGTTTTATTATATCCTTCATAATTCCACATGCAGTATTCATAGTTGAATAGAATTTCGCTAATGCAATTGGAATTTTTAAAAAAAATTAAAAACCCCTTTGCCTTTTTAAAAATCACTATTTGAACATTTTTACTTAAGCAGCTGAAGTGAATTATTTACAGTCTATGTTAACAAGTGTATGTTTGCAGCTTATTATAACAGTACAGTCAGAGTAATCACAGTTTTAAGTCGTGATTTTTAAAATTGATTGTGTTCTGAATGTTTAACACCAAATATAGTGTATTTACTTTTTACACAGCATTATTCAGATTTTTTGTGAATGCTCCTATTATGTTGGTAACTTAAATGAGTTATTTATCCACTTGGACACTTTTTAATACTGAGTAAAAAAAAACCTGAAAAATTAAACTGAGTTATTATCCATTCTTCGGAGATGTTAAACTAAGTTCCTGGGGGTCTGCCTATTCTGGGAATTGAAGTGGACATTAAAGATGTCCATGCAACCATTTTGAAATATGAGTCTCCCAGTGTTCTGGCCAATATCTCTTCCTCATCTCAATCAACCAAAACAACACTTAAATGTTCATTCATGTTGCTGCTGTTTGTGGGACACTGCTGGTTCAGATTAACTGCCATATTTACCTACAAGATATTTCCTACACATCAAATTACTGATGTGTGAAACAATTTGAAATCTTTTCATTTGATAAAGGGCTATATCAAATGCAAGTATTATTATTTTCTTTTAGCTTAAACATTATTAGAAATTAACACCTGTGATTGGAATCCACTATGATATAAAGAATTACATATTCTTTATTTTGTGGATGTTAGCAGTACTCATGTAATCTTTGCCCTCTTGAATGATGATGATCCTTGCATTTGATATAGCGCCTTATCAGGTCTTTGAAGCATCTCAAAGCGCTTCACAGAATATACTGTAAAGTGAAATTTAAGAATACCTTGAAACAGAGAGTCTACAAGATATACCCTGCTCTGAGTTCCTGGGCAGAAGCTGCAAATAAGATAATTCAAAAAGAGGTGGTTTGATAAGTCAAGATTGATCTTCAAAAGATTGTAGATTACACAAGGAATGAATTTGTGCATCAAGTCAACCTGAAAAGGACTGTAAATTAGATTAAAAAGTAATTAATTAGTTTCTGTAGTGTCTCCATTCTTTATGTACCATGGGCGCAAGAGCTTTGGACGACAAAGCTCAGAAGTTGCGCGACACCAGGAAAGCAAGGTCCTGACTGGGTATTGTTGCATCCTCTCCAGTATTGTGCACTTCCAAGCATCAGGTAGAGCTGGATTGGTTCATTGGAGCGTTCACAGTTCTTACTTCCAGCACAACTTTTTGTAGGATACTGCTGTGCGCAATTGACATTTCACCCACAATATACACAGTCAATTCGCTTTACAATATATCCTGTGAAATGGTTTGAGACAACTCAACAATAGCAAAGGCAAGGATTATTATTATTAAATTCAATGGAAAATGTCCACCCGAATGAAACCAGTTTCTCCCTGTAACAGAAATCACTGGAGAGACCCAGAACAAAAGAAAATTAATTTGAAATATTGTATTAAACTGAGGAATCCTCACCATTGGAAAATTATACTGATATAAAAATATCATCAGAAGAGAAAATATCTCCTCTAAACTTTGAGGATTATTCAGTTATTATTCAGCTCCTAAAGAGAATGAATTGATGTGACAAACAGCTGTTTGTTTGCTTAATGCAATATATTTGACAAACATTACCCTGTATGCTTAGAAATAACTAATCCAATCTAAACGTGTAGATAGTATTGGGTTATGAATATAAAGCTAAAATATAAAAATTGTGTTACCATTTTATTTAAGCACACAGGTCATATTCATAGAAGTCAAATGATGGAACGACATAATGATTAACAAACGCCAACAAATGTACAAAGCAGAATTATTACTTTATATCTGCTTTCAAAGTTATTAAGGGAAAAGGAAATGTCTGAATAAAAGAGAAAACAAAGCTTCTTGGAAGCCATTGTTCACAATGGAGCAGACATGAGTCTTCCAGTTAAGATGAGAGCACACAGTGAAGGACAGAATGTTAATAAATGAAGCAAGATTAAGAATGGAATCTTTGAAGATAAGGTTTGGCAACTGAAAGTAATTAAAAATAATTGTACCTCTAAGGAAACAAAGTAAGAGGTCCAAATTTGTGGTATTTCTTAAGCATAGAGTTTGAATCATTCAAACGGGAATTCCTTCCGTAACCAGAAATGTGTCATCTCAACCTGCAGAGAAATCTCTTCTGGTGCCCTTCACATCCAGAGCAAACTCGCTCTGCAAAGACTTTCTTATTAAATAATACAAACTGTCTCCAAGGTCTCATGCCTTACAACGGAGTGACAGAATCAAGTTAATCCTCTGTGATGGTCTTGGTGGTCTGGTTCCTGAACCAAGCAGATCCACAGTACTCCAGGGCATTGCAGATGGGAGACCATTCTTCTACAGTTTCTTCAATCTTATGGGGAGACACACACATATTTTCCAGGAGCCATTGTGTCAATGGAATACGTGCTTACTTTCATCACTTCTCACTTATCCAGTTCTTTATTCGAAGGAGCTAATTGGCAATTTTCTGTGATGGAGAAATGTTAACTGTTAGGAGGAATTTTAATCTCTAGTCTCATTTATGACATTTTAATGTTAAATATTTTTCTCTACTGAACGTTTGGTCAATAAAAACGTATATGAGTGAAATCTATAATCTTTTGTACAGTAAACTCCTAATAACTTGTCACTCCAAGGGAAAAAGAGCCAGCAACTAGTTATCTGGAGTGGCTAGTTAGATGTAAGTTTGCCTGGGCTACAAGAGGATGCTGTGACTGGTCGGGGAGCTTGGCAGAGGTTGGGCACACATGGGCGCCTGCGACATGGCCTCCTATCATCCTACAGGATAGGCAGCCGGGAGCCCACCGGATGACCCTTCAATAGACCACAGGCCTCTGTGATGCATCTGAGCATGTGCATTCAACATCTGCAACATCGCATTGCAATGAACATTAAAGTAATGCAATAACCATGTTTTTGGGTTTCATTGTAAAATTGTTTTCAATTTAATATAAATTCATAAGGTCCATAAAGATGACATATCTTGTTTGCTATATATCCTTATTCACTGCACATAAGACAGTGGTTGAACTGCAGCTCATTACATTGTACCATTCTGACTGGTTGCAAGACGTTTACATAAAAAAGCCACATCCGTGCCATGACTCGCTCTGCCTTCCCGCATCTCTGCAACCTACACCAGACACATGATAGGGTGGAAGGCCTCTGTAATCCCAGATGCCATCTTATAAGACAAGTTATCTGAAGTAAGTACTTACAAGAATTTCTAGAATGCAACGAGATACAAGTTAAAGCGGAGTGGCAAGCAAAGTGGAGCCCCTTATTAACATTTGGCTTGGAAGCAGCCAGGACATTGAGAGCATGGCTACTTAAGTGGTAGTGACAAGTTAGGACTGGGTCTTGTTATCAGGAGTTTACCGTACTTTCCTTATTATGATTAATACAGTGTTATGTGTTTTGCCCTATAACATCAGACTTTGAAGTCCTACTAGGTAATAATTTACACACAAAAAATACTCAGTCACTCCACTTTACACTATATCACATGAAGTGCATTGAGATGTCCTCCCGTTGTGAAAGGGGCTTTACTGAATGTAAATATTATTATAATAATAATTGTTGCATTTGTTATAGTTCCTTATCACATTGTTGAAACGTTTCACAGCATTTCACAGAATATTTTGTAATGTGGATTGACTATATTTTGTGGGCAAAT